TGAACCGCCAGGTCCCCGAGGGAAATTCCTACGCTGACCTGTTCGTGAGGCCTTTTCCCGTCTGGAATGACAGAGCAGGTTCATGAAGGTCCACGGAGGATTCTGGAAACACTGTAATCAGACTGGACTTCACGCCATCATTATTGGTTCTACTGTCTGCCAGTCAGCTTCAGGTAAATTATACGGCCTCACATACTTCCTGCCACCAATACCCAGATAAGTACATGGACTGAGGGCAGAACTGCACCTGTCTGTGGGCTCTTGATATTACAGACTAGTCCCCGAGGAACAGCCTGTCTCCAGCTGTCTTCCTGGGCAGGCGGCGTGCCAGGGCAGCTGGGAGGAAACAGGGGGCTGCTGGGCACCAGGTGGGTATCCATGACGGGGGAGGTGGCAGGAGAACCTGAGGACGCAGGCTTCTCCAAGAGAGCTGGAAGACAGAGAGAGAGAGAGAGAGAGAGAGAGAGAGAGACAACATCAAGTCACTGAAACTCTTTAGAACAGTTGGACCTCACCGCTGATGGTCGTAGGTCTGACTAATGCTGAAAATAAAGTTGACATTATCACATTTCTCTCCAAGACATTTTTGTAAAGGGAAACTTCTGTAGTTCTACAAAAGTTTTGTTTATTGTCCAAAAGTCTAATTTTGCATAAAAGTTGTTGATTCACTTCTGCTGATTGTTACTTCATGTTATGTTATTTTTTATTTGTTTGCACCAACTATGTTGACACAACACACCAACTGTAGCAGCTGTGAAGCAGCGTCAGCCCTTCAGCTAAAACCAAACAGTTTCTCCATGGACTTTGGTTTGGGAGTTTGACAGATTTAGTTATAATTAAAAAAACCAAGACAGATTTCTAATGTGTTTAACTTTTCCCTCCTAGAAACCTGTTCTTTTTTAAGTTTGAGAAGTACTCACATTGGAGTTTGTCCTGCAGCAGCACGATCTGCTCCGTCTGTTTGACGTTGGTCATTTTCAGCTGCTGGTTCTCTTGCTCCATCTATAACAAAGACATGTTAAATCACACGTAACTTTGCCTTTAATTATAGATAAGAACAGAGATTTTTGAAATATTGCAGGATGTTTCTGTGGCCTGGCACTGATGTGAGATATGTTACCAAATTTGTACTTTATACTTTGTTTTCTGTGGTGATTTTTATTCTCTTCCAAACCCATCTCATTTCTGTTGTCCTTTAATGCACAAAAACACACGAAAACTGAAGACGCTAATGTCTGAATACGCTAATGTCTGAATACGCTAATGTCTGAATTTATCTAATGTCTGAATATGCTAATGTAGGAATACGCTAATGTCTGAATACGCTAATGTATGAATACGCTAATGTATGAATATGCAAATGCTGTCTCTTCTCAGTTTAACTACACCTTTGGTTAAAGCACAATCTAAAAAAGCATTGGAGCACAGTACGCAGTATGGGAAACTGAAAATAAATGAATATATATACATATATGTTAATATATATATACATATATGTTAATATATATACATATAAGGTTACATATTTACATATATTTATACATATACATATATACTGACACATACTATGTCTAAGTCAATATCTATATATAATCTATATATGTATATATACATATACACAGATATATGTACACATATGTATGTATATGTATAAGTGGTAGCTTTGGTTTTATTGACTAGTTTGGGTTCCTTGTTCCCTTTTGTCATCAGTATCAGCTCAGTTTCTGTTTTGACCTGTACAACATTCAGAGCAGAGTCTGCAGAGGCTGTGACTTCAGTCAGCTGTGTATCCGTACATGTCTGGTCCTGGTCCTACCTCTCTGAGCTTCCAGGTGACCCAGTCTTTAATCTTGGCAGCCTTCTCCTCAATAATCTTTGCCTCCTGGGCTCTGACTAAGATCTGCAGTCAGGAGACAAACAGCAGGAGGCTTTATGGGGATAATTCCAGTGATGTTCCAGGAACATGAATGACTGTTTCTGATCTTCACTCTCTCTGTCTGTCTGTCTGTGTCTTTACCTGTTTTTCCAGCTGCGTCTCTAACCTCTTGATCACAGCATCCTTCTGTTGGACCTGACTGCTCAGGTCTTGGTACTTTCTGTACAGCGAGCTCTCCGACTCACTGGGTTGAATGTTTGCAGACTTCAGCTTTTCTTCCATGACGTGGATCTGAAAAGTGCATAATTAGAGGAGTGAGCGCACAGGTACGGCCAAAAGGCAGCTCACGTCTGCACCGCTCCGCTGACAGTTGACGGGCAGCAGACAAAGCAGAGGAGGAAACATAAGGAATCTGTTTTACCCCCGGGGCTGAAAGGACGAAAGACGAGGGCAGGTTAAATTAGCAGCTACAGCAAACACCTGGGAGCAGCTGTACTGACAGCAAAGCACAGATTAACCTTCAACACAAAGGGCTGCAGAGTTGGCGTGACGTGTCTAAGGTTTCCTCCCTGTACAACCACAGGCTTCTTCTGTTAAATCCCATCAAAGGGTGGCTGATTAGTGGGCTGAACTCTGACGGAACACAGAGAGCGTGTCATTTTATGGGTGATAAATATATATCTCTAATGTCATCGTAAAGTGTTGGAAACAGAAACACAGGCTTAGGATCAAATTATTGGCATTTTTAACACTGTTTGTTCCCACACATGTTGGCAGTGATATTGATGGACGATGTTGATAACAGGAGCAGAGAGGAGACCAAAGATCTGACTAAGATGTTGAAACCACCTGATGTTTGGTCACATACAGGAGGTCCCAGGTTTACGACGTCCTCGACCTACGGCGTTTCGTGGTTACAGTCTTGTTCCACCGCTGCGACGTAGAGCGTTAAAACTCGTCAAACTATTTCGCACAGGAACTAATTATTTGGCAGGACTACAAACTAATAATGACATAAAATAATAAAATAACTGCAGTGGAGTTTGACTAAAAACGTCTCCTCTTCTTACCCTTCATTGTTTTCCAAAGACTGGGTCGCGACCCTCCGGTGTGACGCAAGAGGTTGCTCAGGTGTGTCGCAAGAGGGTTTTTTTTGTTTTCCCAGGAATTTAGGAATAATGTCTATTGACTTGGGTCGCGAAGGTTTGTGACTTTTGAAATATGGGTGCCCTGAAAAAAAGTTTGGGAAACACTGATCTACCTGTTTCTCAGCGCTCTCAGCTCGTTGGTCGGCCTCCACCACCCTCTGCTCCAGCTCCTGCATCTGTGACAAAAAAAGGGCAAAATATATTACATGTAGATCTAAAGATCTGAACACAGGATTCTGGATTCAATAAAATGATTTTTATTATCATTATTATTATTAATTGAGGGAATTTGGAAAATGATTTTTATTATCATTATTATTACTATATCAGCTTCACTGCATTGATTGAGTCATAGTTTGTGTTGTTGACGTCAGTGTCACACACACACACACACACACACACACACACACACACTGAACGCCTCCTGGGTTCAGTGACCCAGCAGAGAGAAGAGCAAACAGACTAATGGACTCAAACTGCTGCAGGAGTTCCACCTGACTCCCTGTCCTCCTCTTGGCTCCTCGTCTTTTGTCCTCACCCTCTCAAACTTCTCCTCACTTCAACAAAGACCTCCTTCATTCCCAGAATCCACCACTGGCAGTATGTAAATGCTTCCTCACGGCCAGATTAACATCCAGCGACACCACAGAGCATCGGTGGTTGGTGGACGACGCCTCACCTCCAGGTCAAAACATCCAGGCTGTGAGTCACAGGGTTTAGTTTGAGCGGCTCAGAATACAGAGTAGAAGAGGAGCAGGATGACGACCCCTCAGCTGAATCCTCAGAGGTCAGAGTGTTGAATGGATGAGAGGAAGACTTCAGGTCATGTAACGGAGCTTCATTAATGTGCTGGAAATAATCCATCCAGACTAAACAGATCCAGTGGCCTGGTCCACATGAACCAGTAGTCAGGTAAAATTAAACTGGTCAGGCTGCCCCCTAGAGGCACCGACTGTGTGCTAAATACGTCCATGTGTCTCAGGACATTGTTGGGTTAGAAATTCAGAACTCGACTGTTCCCAGAGAAATGTCTCCAGACGTTCTTGGGAGTCAATGATAAAGTTCCAGATGGGTGTCTTTTTCTCTGTCAGATGTGAATCAGTGACAGACGAGTGTCAGCTGTCGGACAGACTCATGATCCGTCTTCATCTTATCTCCACCTGTCAGGAGACCATCAGCTCCTCTGGATTCCTGACTGAAGCACAGACAGGGAGTCAGCTGACTGACTCTTCACAGGAATGGCCTGTAACCCCCGCCCCGAAACAGCCCTCCACCCTCAGAAAACAAAGCAAATTCAATCACACTAGTCGTCAGTTTCACATTAAATTGTCAATTTAAAAAAACCCATGACTTCATATGAATTTTTAGAAACAAAGCAAATTCAATCACACTAGTCTTTTTCACGTTAAAGTTAATTATTGTCAATTTAAAAAAAAACCATGACTTCATATGAATTTTTAGTCCCCCAAAAATAAAAATGTTTAAAGAATATCATTATAAAATGATATGAGAGTTAAACAATGACAATATGATAAGATACAGCAATGAATTAGTCAGTTAATCATTATATATGGCCTTAATTATCCCTATATCTGTATTAAAATAATGAATAACAATTCAAACTTATTTAAATTAAATTAAAAAGTCAACTATAAAGAATAAAAAATCAGCAAATCCAAACACAGCCTGTCATAAAATAAAACATTTGAAACACAAAAGTCAACCCAGTGAACACTTTCTCCCCCCTCTCCCCCCTCTGCTCCCCCGTCTCGTGAGGCTCATGGAAGAGATTTAATGTAATTTGTCCAATATTAGGTTGAAGTAGGAATACCAACCAATTTAAAGATTCCAGGGAATTAGTCCTTTAGGATTCTGGGGGGAAAAAAGATGAAACTGTGAAGCTGAAGTTTCTTCCCTCAAACTGGTGTTTCTGAACTTTGTAGGAAAATAAAATAATTTCACTTGTCAAATTTGTTACTGTTGTCACATCATATTCCTTCTTTAACCCCTCGTCCGACCGACTCTATCTACAAATATTTCCTCCGTATCGTTTTTAGCCACAGCAGCGGCGGTGGCAGTGTTGAGGTTTCTTCCAACACTTTTAGCTCTGGGCTGAAAATGTCTCAACCACTAATGGAGCGTGAGATTTCATACAAATGTTATCGGCCCCACGGGATGAATCCAGTTACACTGACTGATCCACACACCCGACCTCGTCTTCTGCCACTGACGGATGAAGATTTGTACTTTGGTTTGAAATGAAAACAATCAGATGGTGAAAAACCACCCTCAGATTTCTGTCTACAGCTCTCACTGGCCCTGCCATCGGGGGATGAAAACTCTTTGGTAGCGGTTCAATGAAGAGAGCTGAGTGTGAATATTTTCCACTTTTTCTTCGGTCGTATTAAAGGAGACAAGTAGGAGTTGAACTCTTCGTGTTGACGGCTGTGAAGACCTGACTTTTACATCTGTGCTGCTTCTGTTCCTGAAGGAAAAAAAACAACATTCTTCACTGCAGTCTTTACACTTGGACTGGGTTTTAATTTTAACTGGGTGCCTGAGACCAAAGCCTTCCTTTTAATGACACGTGACTTGACCGAGTCTCGAGAACCGACTACATTCGCACTCAAATCCATCATGTCCGTGGCACCAGGTCACAGTTTAGAGGGTTGAAAAAAATCCTGATTAAATAAAACACATCACAGCTCAACAAAAAGATAAAACGTGTCTGAGTCACTAAGTTAGTGACTAAAATCTTTAGCTTTACAAATTGCAGCCACCTTTCAATTAATCCAATTAAAAATTTTAATTGATCCACAGCCCGACTTTATGTCCAAACAAATCCATTACACAGTAATTAGTAGTTCGAGTAAGTGTTCTCTGCAGACGGCCGGTCAAAGACGACCACATCAGCATTCTCTGGTTTTTGGGGGTGGGGGGGAGGGTGAGAGCAATAACATGACGGCATGGTAGTCTTCAGCAGCAGCACATGCATTATATATGTGTGTATATATATATAGACTATACATATAGACACCAGCCTCTGCTTAAACCCTGCACTGTTTGTGATCATTTATGTCTATTAGTAGTTGAAAAGTTGGGATGTTACTATTTAAAAACCGTCTCATTTAAACGACTAAAACCATCTTTAGACACGTCTTTCTAAAGTTATTGTTATATCTTTGTCAAGTGTTGAACTTTGAACTTTTACATTCTATTTGCTCGTGTTTTTCCAACATCGTCCATCCATCAGAATTCGATGGGAAATTCCCCAACACCATTCTTACGACTATCTGCTTTTATTTCCCAAAACTGAAACGTGTTTTTTGAAGGAAACTGGAATTCAGTCCTTAAACATCGTCCAGAATTCTACAAAGATGGAATTCTCTTGAATGGAGGGCATGTCGAGAAGTAGATTTGTTCTGTTCACCAATAAAGACTTGTTGTCAATTTGTCTCCGTCTGACTTTTTACCTTCCTTGTATTTAACTTGTGTTTGTGTAACTGTACTGTACTGCACCAAATGACTGATTATGTGTATAGTATCTTATTATGTGGAGCTAACGGTGTGTGTGATTAATAATCGACTTTTGAATTATTACGCATTCCACCTTGGTTATTTTTGTTGGAGACTCCTGACGTGTTGAGAATCAATTGGACTTCAGTAGCTCAGCGTTATGATTTGTTTAGATTTATTTCCGCCTCTGTCTCTTTTGGTGCGAACGCAGCATTAGGATGATTTGCAGCTCCGGATGTGGAACTCGGCCAAAAGTCTCCGATGTTTAAAAAACGATGCTAACCAATTTAAAAAATGGGCTCAATCAGTTTAGTCTGCTGCAGTAATTTCTCTGAAATATAAGACTTTGGCAAGGACTATTTTTAGCCGAGGATTGATACGTATATTTGCAGCAGCTGCATCATTTATTACCAGAACTGTGAATGTGAGACTGGGCCAAAACCAACTCCAGTCCCACCTGTTCATGAGGCTGATGATTCAACTCCACTCCCCGTTTTTACAGCTCATTTATTAAGTCTCAGACCATTATGGTTATGTTCAAACAATTAATCAGTCAACAGTAAGAAGATATAAGAAAGTGCCAAGAGAGGACCTGGAATATTGTTCGACAAAGACAGAAGTGGTAGAAAAGCACATGTGGGTGGTTCAGGGTGTAAATAGAGACAGCATATCAGAGGTGAGGTGTGCAGTCAGAGTGACTGATGGGCAGGTCTGGGGCAAGGTTTTATCTGTGAATGGTGGCCCATATTTGTGGACATGTGGACAGAGGACGGACTCTAAAACTACAAAGAGATTAGACCAAGAGATTAGACCAAGAGATTAGACCAAGAGATTAGACCAAGAGATTAGAGGTAAATGTGTGGAATCTAAGTAAACATGAGACCAGAGGACTTGTCAACTAAGGAAAACTTAAACTCTCACAAGGTGTGCAGTGAAACCAACATTATATTGTCCTCCTGCCGCAGCTCCATTGATCTCTCCTCGATTTCTGTGGGCCAGGTTTTGTTGCGTTGCTAACACCTGTCTGCAGTTGAGGTCAGTTTTTAGTTCACTTTTCCAGATTGCATCCAGATTTGGACGAAAAATGTCCAGCTTGTTTTGATTGACCGTGTCTGAGGTTGGGTCCTGCTAACAGACTGAACCGACCACTGGTCTGGTCCAGAAGAAGAGGAGATCCAGAGACGCAGCAGCAGCAGCAGCAGAAGATTATTATTATTATTGTAATTGTACAGGACATACAGAGTTTGTCCTCTACATTTAACCCAGTCATGAAACAGGAGCCGTGCGCTCCACTTCACTGCCCGTCGGCTGCAGGAGAAATTTGGATGCTTGCTCAAAACACCACAGCCTAAAGGATAGGATTCAAACCGGCAGTCCTTTAACCACAACTGTCATTTGCACAAAAATAAAAGAGAGAAAAAAACCCTGTTCTGACAGAACCTTTTTTTTTTTTTTTTTTTTTTTTTGCTACCGACTCATTCCTCCTCTCTGTAATCCAAACATTTCCACTCCTTTACCAACAAATCTTCAGAACTGGACTGGATTTCTCGATGACATTTGATTACTTTCCAAAGTGTCTGGTTGTCGGCCTTCACAACAGCCGCAGCTTTACAAGTGTTGGCCGCCTGTTAGTGGTTATCCTCCCCTAACGTGAGGGGGGACGCTCGGCGAGTGAGTAACGGGTGAGTTAAACCTTAAGTATTCACATTGGCCGAAATCACAGGCCATCTCTGATGACACAGGCTGAGTGGGCCGAGTGTTTACCAGATCAGCTGAGTAATCTCATCTGTCACGGCCAACACACGTCAACACGCAGTGGTCCACACGTGTGGCTCCGACTGATTCACATGCTCTAATGGTTTCCAGTTGAAAACAGAGGCATGAGAAGAAGAAGATGGGGGTGATTGGAGGCCAGTGAGTCACTGCAGCTTCAGCACATGTGTTATTCTGCAGAACAACAACCTGTTTAATGTCTCAAACAGCCACACACTCTCAGGTCAATCAGATTGTGGCTAAATGTAGCTACATTTGAGCTCTGAAGTCAGATGTGTCCAAATACGGCCCTTCAAAGTCTCTTTTAAAGTGTATTTATTTGTTTGGCCTGCCATCAGAGGGAAATTATTTCAGTATAACATTTGTTAAATATGTTCTAATGAAAGTTTTTAATCATTTCTGAGGCTGTTTAAAAAAAAGAAGTTTAAGTATACGTTCTGTTACGTTTCGGGTTTTTCTGAGCTAACTTCCAGCTAACTGCTGGGCTAACACTTTACTCTGCTTTTATTTTCCTATTTACAATATATACTGTAATTAATTTTCTAACTATTGGCTACTGTATATTTGGCCAACTCCTTTTAGTTACACATTTTTTTAGCATTTTTTTGATAATGTTTTGTCATTTTTTAAACCACTATATATGGCTATATTTTGACTGTCTATTTGGCTAACATTAGCTTAGCTATTTTAGTCATTTTTATTATATTTTTGTTCACTATTAGCCATTCTCAGCTTTATCACAATGCTAACTGTTACTACTACTACAGCTACTGTGGAATTGCATTGAAAAAGTTCCTAGTACTCTACCTAGTTCCCAGTACTGTATCTAGTTTCTGGTACCACCTCTAATTCATGTTTGTAGTTCCTGGTATTGTATCTAGTTAATCTAGTTAATTTTAGAGTTACCAGTGCTGTCTCTTGTTCTCCATACTGTCACTAGTCACTAGTTCCTGGTACCACCTCTAGTTCCTGGTACTGTCTCTCACCTTGGTACTAGTCCCTGCAGTGATAATGCAAAAATAGATTTTTTTTTTTAAATCTTGAGTTACATCATCATTACAGAAGAGGAAATGCTCAATAGCCCAACAGCTGATTTCTACAGCAGATCTGTTTGTGAATGAGTGCAGCCTCTGTTACCCATGATGCTTTGCTCTCTTACCTTCTCTGCCAGCAGCTCTCTGATTTTCCCTGCCTGTAGCCGAAACCTCAGCAGCTGCATCTCCAAAGCCATGCAGCGTTTCTGCCAATCCACACTGGCCGCTGCGACAGCTCCTGACCCGCCGCTCCCCAGCACGTCCGCCATGGCAGCGATTCAAAATTTTGCTTCGGACTAAAGAAGAAAAAGAGAGAAAAAAAATGTTAATGTCTTTATGATTTAAACTTCCTGCAGAGTAGAAGATGCAGAACTTTTTTCTGTTTTCATTTACAGCCAGAGGAGCAGAAACAAGTGATTCAACCTCCGTGCTGACCGCACTTCCCATGATTCACGGAGGAAATGTGAGTAAAGCAAGGAGTAGCGATGAGTTCACAATAACAGGAGTTTATTGAAAGTTTCCTCTCACTTTCTGCCTCCGTTTGCACTAAATAAGTACGGAAACGTGACCTTATCTGCACACACCGAAGAACGGAAGAGGGGCTGAAGAGTGGAAGGCAACGTTTAGCTAAAGTTAAGCTAACAGTTAGCCAGACCCATTGACATGTACTAGTATACTACGCAAGAAACAACAGTTAACACGAGGAAAGACTGAAAAACAGCTCACAATTAGCAAAACATTTGAAAGTTCACCAAATGGTGACTAAAATGTAGCCCCAAGTAAACCAACATTATGTTGCATATGTACAGAAGATAACTAAAGGTTAGCTCACAGAAGGTAAGATTAAAAAGCAAAAATAATAAAATAAAACAATAAGCATTATTTCCATAAAACCATAATAATAAATGACAAGACTCATGAATCATGTCCTGTTGTGGACTTTTTGGAGACCTTTGACCTACACCAACAGATCACCAGAGTCTGAAACCTCACTTCCTCTTGGTTCCCGGCCTCTGCACATGCCCACACACACTGAACAAAAACTCAGCAGGCAGCGCTGTGTGTCAGTGGGGGAGTTGGGTTCATGCGTGCCGACTCCCAGGCTCTGCCAGCTACAAAGCAGGTCAGTGCTCTGCTTTTTAGCCAAATTACCTACTAACCCAACCTCCCCCGACTCCCCCATCTCCCTCCACATCCACGACTCCCTGGCCATGCAATCCCTTCTTAATTACAAGGCAGGAGTGAAATGAGATCCTGTGCCGCACAACAGTGTCTCTCTGTGTGACAGTCCCAACCACAGCTAAAGGTAGGAGGAAGGGGGTCGTTTTGGGGGGCGAGGGGTAGCTCACCCCGGTGAAGAAAGGAAGAAAGAATGTGTGAGAATGAATGGAGTGAGTGCTGAATGTGGGAAACTCTAAGGGTGAGCTCTACCTGAAGTAGATTTGACCAGTGGCTATTTCCCTCCTCAGGATTCTCATTCATAAAGGTTTAGGTCCAGCTGTGCCAACTGCAAATCCAGATTATCTTGGGTAAATAGAGAGAAGAGGCCATGACCACAGGCTTTAGGGTTAAAACCATGGAAGGTATTTAGGAAGTAGACCTAGCCATCAATGAAGGACCTGGAAATAGACCACTAGAAATACTCAGCTGGTTTCAAAAGAAATTCTTTTCTTTAAAGACTTTTCTCCCTAGTAGAACTATGAAGCTGAAGAATAGTAGTACAGAAGGAATGTATGAGTAAATGCTACAAGTTTCTTTAGTAACACATGTGCACACTTCAGGTTCAAGAGTTGTAAATGAACCAAAACGCACTCATGTTCCTCTGCTGTGTTCCTCTATTAATGCCTCTGCGCCTGCACATGCTGCCCAGTGCTACTCACTACACCGCTAAAATCATTTTTCCAATTTAAGAATCTTGCGTCACTTCAGATCTGCTGCTCTTCACCTCTGTGTGTCCTTCCACCCAGTAATGCCTCTATGCCTGTGTATCAGGAAAGATGTGATTATTAATGTGGACAGGACGCTTCAGTAGACACTTCAACAAAGGCACATAAAAAAGGCTACTTTCTACCATTTCTTTAAGAGTAACAACTTTCTGTTAGAACTTAATAAAAACAAAAAATGTGATAAAAAAAAGTAAAAATAAAAAAACATCTCCAGCTCGTGTTTGGAAACTTGAGGTGATGCAAACCTTAATATAATCGGTGCTTATCTCACCAAAATAAGTTGAAGAAAGGAGAATAATTTCAAATGAAAGGCAGACACACACACACACACAAACACACACACACACACACAGACACACAGACACACAGACACACACACACACACAGACAGAGTGCAGCCAGATGCCATCAGCACAACTGCAGACGTTCAAAGTCCAGCAGCTAAAACTGCACCACGGCGCTCCCTACAATTAGTACGCTCATAAATACAGGCCTCTCAAACAAATTATAGAAGTCATGCATGTGGAGGTTTTGCCAGTCGACCGCTGTACCCAGGCCGGACGACCCAGGTCCAAGTGCTGACGACTTGTTCTGTCTGTGGAGGAGACTGGAGGCTGTGAAGGTCAGGGTGAGCAGGAAGCGGGGGGGGGGGGGGGGGGGGTAATAAGTCAATTTGAAAAAGCCCTGTTCGGCCACACTGGGGAAAACTATGATGGAGGAAACCAAAGGAGGTCTGGTCCACTTCCCCCACCTCCTCCTCCTCCTCCTCCTCTTCCTCCAGGAGCTAAAACAGCTGGGTGTAAACAAGCCATTTGCTGGTTAAACGCTCGCAGCACTGCCGTGCTAATTCTTCCTTGAACAGCCCTTAAACACTACCTGTTGGTTGGACACGAGGTGGTAGTTCCCCCACCTCCCAACTAAATCCTGTTGTGCTGTTTAAATGACATTAAGGATTACTGATAGACTTTACAAATAACTGTATCCCTTACTTTGACCTGGAAGATGCAGAGGCAGCTAGCATCGTTAGCATACCTCTGTACCAAACAGAGCTCAAACAACATCTCAACAAGCTCTGGTCAACGTTGTCCTGTTGTGCTGTTTAAATGACATTAAGGATTACTGATAGACTTTACAAATAACTGTATCCCTTACTTTGACCTGGAAGATGCAGAGGCAGCTAGCATCGTTAGCAAACAGTGCTCAAACAACATGTCAATTTGAATGACATTAAGGATTACTGATAGACTTTACAAGAAAACACCTGGAAGATGCATTTTTTAGCAAGCTATGTGGTAGCTTGCTAAAAAACTGTGATGCTACGGCAGCTAAAGGCTCATATCTTTGTAGCAGGTTGGCACCTGGAAGTATCATTTACTGTGATGAGAAACACAAGAATCAGAGAGTTCAGCTTGAAGGTGATTTTCAAAAACAAAACAAAGTAACCCAGCTGATTATTACTATCTGTCAAAGCAAAGTTAAAAGCATAAATTATTCTAAAGGATAAGGACTCAACTCTGTCCGGCTGTAAGCTGAGCTTAGCATGAAAGGCTAAGGACTGAAAAGTAGAAGGAGGGAAGGCAATCAGAGAAGGTCAAAAGAGGTCAAACCCTCTCTCAGCTCACTGCACAGAGATAAAACCAGCCAAAACACCAGCTTGTTAGGAATGAGGTCATTTGCAGTGTGTGTGTGTGTGTGTGTGTGTGTGTGGGAGTACTGTGGCCTGATGCATAACTTTTGTTACAGTTAAGATTTAAACTGGAGTCATTTTCTCCTCCTGCTCCAGCCTAACCCTCCATCAGCGGATGGTTTACAAAAAAACACAGAAGCTATTTTCCACTGAGTCTACTGTTATGTACGACCTGATGAACACTGTTCTCTCCTGCTGTATCTGCTCTGTCAGGCATGTATGACAGTGAGAGGAAAACAAAAAGCCAGGACGACAAAAATACGCGGTTATTTTTTAATGATCTGTGTGTCATCACTGATGCACGTTGGGTAAAACTCCAGGCCACCCAAGACAGGCATACAGGCAGGCAGGGAGGGGCATGACATCATGTGAGGGCTCAAGACCAGATTGGTGTCTCCTCTCTCTTCAATGGCTGCAGAGCAACACACACACACACACACACACACACACACAGCGATTCTTAGAGATTCTCTACTTCAGTCTGACAGCACGAGTTTCCGTGGCCAGAGCAAACTCTGGGGAACACGATTGGATGGAAACACCACCGCAAAAATCCCAGCACAACAGCTCCGACTGCAGCCCACACCCACAAATACTTTTCTATTGACATTTATCCTGCATTATCCCTCACGCCGACTCAGACTTGATATCCCACCAGGGGTTTGATGTCTATGAGGAAGGGATTAAGACATCGAAAAATGATCCAGTGTTGTCAGAAACGGCTCCATTTGGACAGAGCCTGATGACGATCCTACAGTTTTTACAAGGATGAGTCAAAAAAAAAAAAAAAAACTTGTTTAGACAGGCCTCCCACTTTTCGCCAACAACTGCGACCAGTTTTATCAGTATATCTTGTTCAGGTTGAGTGGGGTTATGTTTTATCAAATCAGGGTTTTCACTCCTCAGTGTTTGTGCAGTGACATCATGCCAATATGTAAATATTTCTGCCACATCTCCAGAATCTGGACCATTGGTCTCAACTGTAAACATCCTAACGTTTTGCCAACTGTCCTTTAATGAACTTTATTAATTAACGTTATCAACGACCGAGGTTATACTGACCCATAGGTTTAACACTTCATTATGTTCCCTGTGCTCAGCTCATTGGTCACCCTGCTGAAGTTGGCTTCAGGTTGGTAATGCTTCAGTCGGTGAAGGCCATCATTTTTGATGAAATACAGTATATGTACTACGACAGGAAGAGGTTTTTAAATAGATTATCGACAGCAAAGATGTAACGATAAACTCAGCTCACCGTACAATATCATTCACGATTTCTATGTCAGGATAGAATGTTATCACGATGTTTTTAAAAAACAAAATGCAAAACTTTGCAAAAACACCGTTACAAAATGAAATGGTCCTGAGAACAGAAATATCTCCCAAATATCATCTCACAAAATGCAAAACTTTGCAAAAACACCTACAAAATGAAATGGTCCTGAGGACAGAAATATCTCCCAAATATCATTTGTTGCTCTACTCTCACAAAGACATCCACTAAGAAGACATGCCCAGATGGAGACACTGCTGCTGAAGTGTTCGGCGCTCCACTCACAGAGGACGTGGAGAATTGTTTATTTATTTATTTTGGTTTTACTATCTTTAATTTGTCCTTGAACTTTTTGACCAACAAGCCTGAACCCTACAGTCAGTCTGGAACAAACAAACCAGCAGCTACTGTGTGTCCATGGGCTGAGACAACAAGAACTCTGGTCTTTGAGGTGACAGAGAGAGAAAGTGCTTCGTAACCTTGTCTGTGCAGATGCATGATCCACGGAGATAAAGCTGTAAACACACTCCTCAGGCCCTGTGGGCTTACTGTATGCAGCTGTTCACTTTATTAGCTGCGCCTCATGTTCAGTTTTTCTTCCAGGGTCTCGACTGGGTGCCACATTTTAAGAGAGTGGTTTTGGGGCATTAAACAATGACGTAAGAATCTGTCAAAGACCGTGTCTGTGTACGTCTGTAGCAGTCTGTAGCTCTGACCCTGTGTACAACTCCCCAGACCAACCCTCAGTTGACCGGCTCGTCCCTCGGCAGCAGACACCACAGCAGCCGTAACTCCTCAGCAGCACTCACCAGAGTCAGGGAGGCAGCTGGAGAACAGACACGGACACGGACACACACACCGACACGCTGCTGCTGACCATGCAGCTGTGGTGATGTCAGTGATGAGGTGGTGCTGTGATATCATCCCTCGGCATTTGAAAATCCCAGTTGTTGTCAACATCCAACCTGGACTTCCCCACTTTTGGCAACCAGTAGCTCCACCCTCCCTCCGTCTATTCTTCTGAGAAGAAAGCCTCTCATCAGGCAGCACTGAGCCTGAGTCTGAATGTGGGTCAGTCAGTGCGGATCAGTGTCAGCCTGCCGTGTACACCGACAAGACGGAGTAGCAGTGGAGTATGGCTTCATCTTCTCCTCACTGACCCCCAGTGGAGTTTGACCAAGAAGGAACTCTCCCCAGGCCTCGGCCTGTGTTTGAATTAGGAGCTCACTCTGTCTGGTACTTACAGCTGGAACAGGTTCCTCATAATCAGGAACGTCTGGAGTCCAATTTAAAGGGTTGTATGTTTGTGGCCCTCAGTGTTTTCAAATATTATCAGCTTACTTGCTAACAGCTAACATGTCAGTCTCTGACTAACACAACGAAAGACAGAATGATCATTCAATGACTCTTTGTAACAATTCCAGGATGGTTATTGTGTTTTTATCTATTTTGTTGATGACTATATTGACCAGTCAGCTGGTTAACTACGACCTGCAGATCATGTTCTAACCTTTGACCTTTCTGTGATAATGTGTTTACAAGCCTGTGAATATTTATTTAGATTCATTTGTTTAACATTATTACATCTGGTCATCCTTAAAAAAAAACAATGACTTCTACTGCTGTAAGTAACAGACAGGTGGCGCCATTTCAGCATTACATCCCTTCACCTTTCACCTGAGAGGACAGACAGGTTTATGACGCTTGATGCAACAGGAAAAGCCAATGTTTTTATAAAAATTACGAACAGCGCCATCTGTCTTTGCTTTTAGCCTTATCTTAAAATGATTCAGCGTGGACAGAGCCGTGTCTCACATCAGATGTTTGAGGCAGTAAAAGAGAAAGGCATGTCTCCGTATCTCCTTATCTTGTCTCACTCCTCCATCTCTGTGTGTCTTACTCACCTCTCCTCCTGACTTTCAGTCCTCCCTCTCCTCCTGCAGCACCTTTCCCACCCACCCCATCCTCTCCCTGCTCCACTTTCTCCTCCCCCATTGTGTCCCTGCAGTCAAACCTGCGGCTCTGTCCCCGCAGCAGCGCAGGTTAATGACAGGCCTCCACAAACTGACCACACTCATTATCAGCGGCCGCCTTAAACACAGACCCTGACATTCCTCTGTGCTGAGGTGTAAACATCCACCTCTGCAGCTCCGCCACGCTGCAGACAGACACACTTTAGAGTGTCCACCCTCCAGCCCTGCAGGGCAAAGGGAGACATAGAGAGAGAGAGAGAAAGAGAGACAAGAGACAGAAGTACAGACAGAAACACACAGAGAAAGACTGGGGACACAGAGACAGAGGCAAACAAAGTGGAGGGTCAGTGCTCCATCCTTGACAGAGGGGACAGGGACAGATGGGGAAACGCAGAAGTAGACGGAGACACTCAGAGACAGACATAGAGATGGGGGAGGGGTGAAATGACACCTAAGAGCCAGAGACATCTGACTCTACAGTCGATGTATACGCTGTGGTTGGTGTCTCTGTTAGGGACTCACAGGGACAATGATGGAGTCACTGATGTCCACACTGATGCAGCTCAGCAGGATAAACTCCTCTGACTTCTTCAAGGCTAAACATTGACATTAAAAACTCTGATTGGACACTTGGACTTTTTCTTATAACTATCAGAAACTACAGTTTCCGTACAGTGTGTCCAACCTCTGGGTCACCTGGATCTAAAGTTCATATGGTCACATAGACCAGACGGACCAGTGTCTCTGATCACCACAATGTGAGCAGATCATGGTCTGAGCTTCCATAAGACCAGAGGTAAAGACAAAGTCAAAAAGTTTTCAGCCATGTTTCAAACTGACATACTATTTATTTGAGGTTATTTATATTTTACCTTGACTTGACATGAGAAAAGTTGGCATTTTTGACCGAACAAACAAACCTGTATACACGTATACGGTAAAGAGTTTGCCCAACTCTGAATCCTGAGTAAAATCTGGGGATTTTTTTTCCGTATCTGTTTTGATTCTACAACCAGACCTGAAGAATCCCCCAGGGTCCGTGTGAAACTCCAGACCAGTCCAGAGTCTGTGAGATGACCTGGATGACTGAGAGCCTTCAGGGGCATCTGCGTGTGTTTTGGTTTGGGATTAAAGAGTCAGACAAACTACCAAACAGTGACGGAGCTACTACTGGGACATGCAGTGACTTGAGATTTTGTCCAAAAAAGGCCACAGGGAACAGGTGTGCCAGGAGCGCACGGCTGAGCAGAATAGTAGCAATCGTAAAACAGTGGGTCAGCAAAATGAAAAAAGTCCATGCAGGCTTCTGTGTCTAAATACACAGGCCAGGCTACAGCTGCAGCTGCGGTGTCTGTGACCGAGGAAACCCCGGGAGTCCCGGAGTCAAATCCATCCAAACGGCGAATGCGTAAAAGTCAGTGCGTAAAAGAGTTAAAGGTGTTTCTGCAGTCTTACCTTGTGACTAGTGTCGACTCTCGCTCCCCGCTCGACCTTCTCCTCTCACGGACACCGTCCACCGTAAACCGGCGCAGCTGGGTTCATAACTTCCTCTCCGCTCCGTCGATTTTCTCCTCCTCACTCCTGCTCCCTCTCACCGCTCATTCATTTCGCCAAAGTTTCAGTCTTTCTCTGAGTGTTTAAATGCGGCGCCGCGTCCCCCTCTGTCTCTGTCCCTGTCCCCGACCGCTGTCCTTCTGCCGTGTCTCTGCTGGAAGCACAGCAGACTGGAGTAGGAACTCCTTTACTCCTCACTCTCTCGGCTCCTCCATTCAACAGACTCATCCCATATTCCTTTAAAGGGCCCAGTGCAGGATCAGGTTTCTGCAGGCAGCAGTCAGACCCCCCTCCTTGTCTCCCCCCTGTCTCCCCGTCATGTGCAGGAGCTGCTCAGGATATTGCATTAAGGCTGTTTCTTGCGTGGAGTTTCCCTTTACGATGTAAACACAGTCGGCGAGGATTTTTGTGTGGAGCTGCGGGCGAGAAAGTTTCTGTGACTCCTGCAGTTTTATGAACTTTTTTTTTTTTTTACGGAAAACAGATTCATAAGGAAATACTGTCAAATTGACAATGCCTCGGAGTTAGCCCAGCAGTCAACCAAATGAAGCTAGCTAAACATGAGATGTCATAGATAGCCCACAAATTAGCCCCAAAATAGCTAGTTAGCCAATAAAATATAGAAATAAAGCCACGATAGTTTATAAGTTAGTCAAAACAAAGCTACACAGAATTGCTTAAATCTGACTCATTAAAATGTTGGAATCATGGCTGATATAGCTTAAAGTTAGTCCGTAATAACCATAAAAAGAATGCAAAGTTACCCCATTAGTAGCTAAAAGAAGGATGGGAAACATATTGACGTCATTTCATAAGAAGGAAAAAAATAGCATAAAAGTAGCTTAAAGATAAAAGTAGCTTAAAGCTAGTACATATTAGGGCAGAAATAGTGTAAAGTAAGTCCATGATAATCCAACAATGTAGCTGAAAATAGCATTAGCTTAGCCCATAAAAGCTACTTCAAACTACAAAGTAGTTTATAAAGTTATTTCCTAATAGAAAAGTACATATTAGACTAAATATGACTAAAAAGCTAGACATTAGGAAATACATAGTTTATAGTAAGTCCATATAAAGCTTCACTGAATGGGTAGGAACCATGATTAATTTAACTTAAAGTTATTCCATACATTGGTCAACACAGCTTTTATGGAAAGTGTTTTGATGTTAACTAACACAGAGCACCACATTTGGCCAGAACTGGCTAACTGACAGAGCTCAACATTAGCATCTAAAACCTTAAACATTATGCCAGAAATAGCTAACAAGTAGCATCACAACATCTTCAAAGTTATCAGGTTAAGATAAGTTAACAAATGAGCCAAAAATAGCTATAAGATAGAAAACAGAAAATGTTATTATACAAATACTACTGAACTAAAACTTTCATGGCTTAAATCTTTAGAAATGATCGCGTTAGATTCTCTGATATGTAACATTTAATTTCTCAGCTATTTTATTATAATAAAATACTGCCTGAGGAAAGGCACTGTATTTCACAACTTCTTTCATTTTGACACACCCAGAGCTCTGGTAAATTCAACTTTCTAGGCTCAACAATAATTTGGTCTTTTTTTATTGAGCGTGTATTTATACAGTCACATGCACAATCTGTTCTCAAAATTAACCGGACTCATAAAAACTGCAATAAAATGACGCTGTGGCTCAGTGAGTCTCTGTGAGACAGGACCATGACATGACAGCAATAGAAGGACTTTAATAAAAACTGGGCTGCTACTGTACTGCACTGACGTGTTAACTACTGTATACTTTTACAGCTGTTTAAGTCAAATATGGACCACACTAGGAATAATGAAATGCTGCCCACTTTTATATAACACATGTTAACTGTGTGTGTCACCATGGGAGTCCTCAAATAAACCATCAAATATGGGCTACATTAATATAAGCCCAACTGGACTGGGCTCCTGGACCAGATTAGACAAAGTGGTGTGGCCCTGTCTGTTTGGACATGGAATTCTTCCCTGTTTTCACCATTACTTGTATACTGTTCAACACCGCCCCCAACAATTTCCAGCGGTACTGCTCTGTTGTCCAAAATGCACCAAATCATGTACATTCCAAATCCAAAGTGCGGACAAAAAGATCATCATGCAAACTTACTGTATCGTTGAGCAATAATTGGGCTTCAAATGAGTCAAATAAAAGTTTAGAAAATGTGCAGAAATATTGACAAGATCTTTGCCAGGAATGTTTTCAAAGTCTGATGGTTAAGATATTTTATTCGCTTTGCTTTACTTTTAATCTCAGATTTAAAATTCAAGCATTTTTCTGGTTCTGGTTTCAGGAATAAATCGAGTTTCCTTTGTTCCCAACCAGTCTGTACACTTTTAGTGATATAAATCCTTATTTTAAAGACCACCATGATGGACTCGGTAAAGTCCAGTTTTTGGGGGTTTTAAGGAGCCCTAATTACAGTTTGTTTGTTTATAGGCTGCAGTCTCAGACTGGGCTTTACAGGAATCAAACATTGTTAAACCACCATGTGTAGCTGTTGCAACTGCAGAGAACCATGATCTGGGCCAGTAAAAGAATTGCTGGGGATCATTTGCAAAAGTCTGAGAACACATTGATATAACAAGACACGTATAAGTGTGCTCAGGTCTCTACATCATTCTCCAAGTGTTAGGAAGTCAAAAGGTTCCAGTTGTTGGAATACAGAAACAAGTGAGGTTCAATCAGGGCAGCAGAGGAGTGGACCTGGGAAGATCACGTCCCTCTCAGTCTGCAGCCTTTTTTTATGATCTGTGTCTGAGTGGGATATAATCTGCATCATTTTCTCACTTTTGTAAAAAAGAAAAAAGAAAAACAGCAGAAGAAAGTCATGCAGAAGCAGAGTGTCAAGAACCAAACTCTTAAAATCTCATCATCTGGCCTGAACCAACTGACACACCACGCAGGATTTCTGTGTGTTTGTGTTAATGTGTAAAGCATGCAGTGGTGTGACACGCCCTGCTGTGTCCACTGACCAGAGTCGTCCCAACAACGCACAAATACACACACGTCGACACGAGGACAGAGCCGGACGCAGCCAGACCTGGCGCAGAAACAGAGGCGGCGACTGCACGCACGCTCACAACGGACGTCATAATCACAGGTCTATTGTCTTCATCCTCAGTTTTCATTTTTGATCATTTCTGTTTCTGAAGTGAATGAGTAAAACTGTTCAAATGTAGCTCATCCTGAACCTCAAATCTTTTGTGTTTCCACAAAGTACAAAGTTAAAGTTAATTGTGACTTAGCTAATTCATCTTTGGGAGTCAGTATGGTCAAGATGCTGCGCAGTAGGACTTCACTGACCTGTCCCTAATTGGATGGCCTCAGCGAAGGGGTCACTTGGATTTTAAAATGTAAAATGTGTAATACAACAAACCTGACCTGTGAGTCTAATAACGCAAAACAAAGACTTGCTTCCCAGACAAACAAACTTAAATACATTTTAATTAAAGCATTCTATCACCTTAGATTTTAAAAAAATGAACTAAATAAAAAAATAACTCATTTTTGAAATAGTTGGAATCAGACGTGGTGAAATTCCAAAGGTAGTAAAGTTTATCCTGAGAGGACCATGAACACTTGCACCACATTTCGTACAATCCATCTACTCCTTGTTGACGTTTGAGTCAAAACCACAAACACGAGCCTCACAGTGAGAGAAACTCTCAGTTTCCACATTTGGATCAAACCGTTTCACTCCATTTAATACATGCTATTCAAATGATTTAACACCCAACCCTGAATAAAGGCTATAAAAATAAGACGGAAATGACTTTCTGATACCAAAGAAAATCACCTGTAGTCCAACCACGGATCCTGACCCAGCCTTTACCGTGCCGTTTAAATGACAGTCAACTTGTAAAACCACTCACCATCTCTAATGGGTGTGGGTTTTACAGGAACTCTGCTCTGTGTGTATTGATTTATCCCTCCTGATACGATTAAGTGGAGGAGGTCAGTGTGCAGCAGGGAGGAGTGAACACAGCCAGTGGTTCCAGCTCTGGAAATGGCCAGACTTCAGTCTGTGTTGCACAATAATTCAGTGCCTCAGTGAGTTCAGTCAAAACAAGTGGTGTCAGACCTACATGGTTTACATGCCGAGTGTCAGGCACGGCTGCCAGTGTGGCCAGGGGGAAACCGGGATAGGGAGCAGGTTTTAATAAGTTAATAAGTTCAATAAATGACCGTTGTAGGAGTAAGGTCAAGAGGTGAGAAGGAGGACTCAAAGAGACGCCAAAGAAAGAACAATTCATACGGACGGGGTTGGACCCCAGACATAGTTAAAGGGGACACACGTACAAATACTGTAATAATAATTACAGTATTGAAACTGTGATCGAGTGATTGCTGGTTCAAATCCTGACCTGGACGGAGCTGTGGTATGTTGAGCAAGCACCAAAAACTCCCTTCTTCCCTGTGTGCAGCAAAGTGGGCTGGATAGGTTCCAGACCCATGCCGGCCACAAGAATGTTCCTGGTTCTATACCATCTAGTTCCAAAATCCTGGGTTGGGTTGCATCAGGGAGGCTAACTGGTGCTCTGTGGATTAACCCTGTGGTAACTCCTGATAGATCAGTATTGGTTCTTCTTCCGACTGGTGACCCTCTGCCTGTAGGGCAGGTGCACCAACCACTGTGTTATGGTGAGGCCCATAAAAACTTTGTCAACCAAGGTGGTCTTGATCTTCAGTTTAGAACTTCTGGGAAACTGGGTTTAGGTTTTTGAGGACTTTTGAGGTTTTTCTCTCTAATCCAAGATTCTCCTGGATGGCAGGTGGAACGTTGATTAGAAAAGACTATGCTCTGAAATAAACGTCTCACAGCGCAGAGTTGATTCAGCCTTATACCAGACCATAAATGTACCAGATTTGGTATCCTGGAGTGGGCCACAAACGTGACCCAAAGCCCAACGACCAGTCTGATGTCTTCAGGAAACCCATTTGACTTTCTTCAAGGCCATTTGGGATTCCTGTCCCCATGGTCGGCCTACCACAGGATGTGGCCCACATGGATACTCACATATCAAACATACCTGTAATATCTTGGTGGACCAAGCCACTGATTGTGCTGGACGTTTACAGAGATCAAAATAAAGAAATCAAATCACTTTCTTTCACCGTGAAGTGAAGGACCTTCTCCATCTGCTGTAGCCAGTTGGCTGAGTGATGGACACTGGGGTTGTTGGTCCCGCCCAGAGACGCAGAAAAGCATTTCTAACACAGGTTCTAACCCATCGTCACTCCATCACAGACACTTGAAAACCTCTGGTTAAAAAAAGTGAATTTC